ATCAGTGGTTGATTCCAGGCCTTAAAATGCTGGTAACAAATACTGGTTATGGAGTTTAGTGGGGTTTTTTATTTTATTTTTCAGCTTGCTATAATTGACAGCCCGTGAAAATGAGTGAGAACCTTCTTAGGTTCTTTTTAAATTGACTTTGTTTTGGCTTTGAAAAATATTTTTGAAAATCTTTGTGATTTTTTTGTTTTGAAATATTTTTTTTATAATTTTAGATTAAAAATAAATTTTAAAAAATAATATATATATATATATGTTATTTTAATATATTTTTAAATAAAAAATATTTTAAAAAACAATTATTATTATAATCTCAAATATTATCTTATACTGTCACAAGCGTATTCTTTATCCTTTATGTAAACATTAAAAAAATCTTTTTGAAGAAAAAGTTAAAAAGAAAAGCACGTTGTCAGTATTCTTGGGCAGATACACAACAAAGAAGTAGTCGGTGCTTGATTGTTTTGAAAAAATGTCTTTTAACACTCAATTTTTTTAATTAGATAATAGGGATATTTTTGAATCATGCTCATTGAAAATTAGAATTTGTTTTTAATAAAATTGAAGGATACTATTTAGATTGAGTTTAGGCTTGTTCAATAATTTTAAATAAATTTTATTATTTTTAAAATTAAAAATTTAATATATTTTAAATCGTTTTGATAGGTTAATGTTAAAAATAATTTTAAAAAATAAAAAAATATTATTAACATATATTTCAGAAAAATAAATTTAAAAAATATTATTTTTATATATTTTTAAAAATATTTTGAAGTATTTTTTATTTGTAAATATATTAAAATAAATTTTTTATTTTTTAAAAAATATTTTTAATATTAACATCAAATTAATTTAATTTATAATATATACAGTGTTTGTGAAGGGAACTTCAGGCAATCCAGAGTTGCGTTTCAGAGAGTGACGTACAGTTTGATTACCTTTCGTACAGTTTGCATTACATTCTATCAACTTGGAGAGAAAAAGGGCCATGAGAGAGCTAAAAGTGAAGCAGGTATTGTCTTGTCGGGATAGTACTTGGGAGGTTTCCTCGTAGTTTCATCCCAATATCTTGTGACCCTGTCGGCAACTGATCTGACTTACCAGTTTTGAAATTTGAATATAACATTCATTTCGTCGTGGTAAGTACGATTAATGGGTAAACGTTTTACAGTGTATTTTCAATGTATAAATTTAAGTTGTTTAATATATATATATATATATATATATCATATAGTGTAAGTTTTTTGAATTTAAATCTGCATAAACTTCTATCATCTTATATTATTAATTAATTTGACGAGAATTCAACTTGTAATTTTTTAGTCAATAAAAATTTTATACCATGTCAAAAAATATTTAAATTTAAAAACTTAAATTATTATATAAAATTATAAGATATAATTTATATTATTTTATAATATATGATTTAAATTTATCGTTTTTTAAAAACAAATTGCTGAGAATTCCTCCAACCACATTCCCAGTTAATTATTATTGAAATCATAAATTTCGGTCCTTATCCAATTTTATCTCTATCCCATCCATTTCTTTAACCATGCTTTTATATGTCTTTCGTGAAAAAAACCTTGCGTTGATTTTATGGCTAGCATGGTTGCTCCTGCCTCCTGGTATCGGTGATTCTACTACTGGGAACGCTCCTCCTGCTTGCCTGCCCGAGCTTCTTTTAGGTGACTCCACTTGTTATAATTATGCTGGCTGATGGCGCTGGGAATACATTTTTTATTATTATATTTTTTGTTAATTAGTAAGTGAAAAGATAATCTCCATGTTTAATGAAATGGATTGAAAAACATAAAAAATATAAATTGAATAAGATTCATTCACTTTGATTAAGAACTTTAATGGAAAGTTGATTTTCTTTACAATAAATAAAAATAAATACAGCTGTAAATATTTTATCTTGAATATTTTTGTATACGTTTTTTTTAATTAAGTTTCAAGACTCATTATACCCATTAAGCACATGTGATTTTTATTCTTATAAATAAATTATGCAAATATAAATGGTCTATTTAAAATCCAAGATGAAAAAAAAATCAAAGATGAATTAAAATAGTTTCTTTAAAGTATCATGAAATTATAGAAATAACCCAAAAGATTAATTAATATTAAAAAATTAAACTAGACAATTTAAAAATAAAATAGGGGTGATAATTAAAAGAACATTAAGAAAAAAACAAGAAAAAAAGACAGAACTTGTTGTTGTAAAAAAACTAAGGTATGAATGGGCTGAAAAAGCTAGGCTCTTAGATGATTTGTCGTTTATTTTTATATTTTTCACCTACTTCTTGTGGTATAAAAATAAGAGTCTAGGTATTTAGACCTTAAAAACCCATTTCTCAGCTTGGTGTTGTCTAAAAATACCTCTAAAACATTTTAGAAATTACAACAAATGTATTTTGAAGCCTAGAGACCTTCTAATTGGTTTTAAAATCTGAAATAAAATTAAATAAAAAATAACTTAATACATCTTGATTTATATTTTTTGACATGTTTGAAAAATAAAATCACCTTAATTGAATTCTTTTTTGTTCATATTAAACCATTGATACCAAGTTCAGTCATAAGATAGATGGAATATGATCGACTAACTATAACCTCTCTCATCATTGTTTCCCATCAACTTTATTTTTTATTTCCTAGTATTCATAAATTGAACATGTTAAAAATAAAGTTTTTAACTTAAAAATGTAAAAAGTAGTAACTAGTCATGTATAATTAAAAAATTTGGGGATGAAATTGAATTATACATCTTTGTTTTTCACCAACTTTGATTTTGATTATTATTCTTTTTTTTTAATAACAGATTTAAAATTTATTTTATAAAATAGATCTTTAATTTAACATTAAAATACTCCATGGCATATTGGATAAAATAAATATTAATATTTAAAATCATGGAAACTTTTTAAATAATAAAATTAAAAAGAAACTAATCTCAATTATTAATCAGTAAGAAACTAAAAGTTTCATAGACCAAGAAGGAAAAAATTTGCTATGAATAACGGAGTGAACATAAGAGAATTCACGGTAAAGCTGAAATAATAGACCGTTTTCTTTTAATTTTCAGTGTTAATGGCTGGAGTTGCTTTTCTCCGCTCGTAGCTTTAATTTTTCCCCTTTTCCCTGCACCAAAATAATAATAATAACAATAATTTTTGCTAACATCTATCAATTTACCAATGCCCTCATTATAGCAATCTAAAACAAACTACTATAAATTTATATTAGGGCTGAATTGGTTATACAAGGAAAGGTTTTCTCTCACCGTTGAAATATTTATGCAACAGCGACTAGAATTATAACTACGAGAAACCTCCATGTTCTCCAACATGGTTTTTTAATAAAGCATTTAGTTATTATCCTACAATAAAAAAATAAAAAAATATTTTTTATATTTTTGAAAGTATATAAATTATTTAAAAATACTCAAAAAATAAATTATTTTACATTTTGTGTCTGTTTTTTTAATCAAATATGTTACTATTTTTTTATAATTATTTTTTATATATTAAATGGATGTTGAGTATTCTGATAGCTCTTATGATTAATTTTTTAAAAAATAGATAAAAAAAATTTAATCATGGTTTTTTTTAAAATCAATCTAAGCAAATATGAGAATAGTTAAAACTACCATAAATAGCTTTTTTCATATAAAATAAATAAATAACAATTATTTATAAATAAAAAATAAATTATTTTAATTTTTATAAAATTAATATTTGAAATACAATTACGTGTGTGAAGTCCAATACAAAAAATAAAAATTGTCTGGTAACAGAAAAATCTTTTTATTTGAGATTAGATAAAAAAACAAACAAAAATTATCACAATAACAAAGATAACTTAAAAGTTAAAACATAAACAAAATAAAATCCATCTCTATCTCTTATTGATCAAACATTGTCCAATTAACACTTTCAATTGTGGTTTTTTCTTGAAAAAAAATTATGTAAGTTTAAGACAAAAAAGTCTTCGTTCTTTATGATTTGAAAGGCAATTTTTTTAAGATCTGGATTAACTGGGTTGTGTGATTCTGTTTATCATATCAGGGACTCAATTGATTTTTTTCCCTGTTTCTAGATTCGATCGAGAATCAGGTAACAACCAGGGAGGAATATATCCCTTGCCCTGACAAAAACATTGTCCCATAACACGTCACGTGATGATGAATGCAAGCACATACGTTTGTGTGTCGTGTATGAATACCGACAACAAACTAACTTAATAATTGCTCATGAAACCATTTAGGCGGTGACCAAGTGGTAAGAACTTGAAATCAAAGGGTTTGCTCTCTCTGTGGTTTCAAGTTCGAGTTTTTGGTTACTCATATGATGGCCACTGAAGGCTTACATGGTCGTTAACTTCAGGGCCCATAAGATTAGTCGTAGTGTACGTAAGCTGGCCCGGACACCCACGTTATTCTAAAAAAAATAATTGCTCATGAAGTACAAGATAGGTGGGATTAATCATACTAGCTATCATTTTATAAAATTTAGATATTCTATATAATTTTGAATTGAATTATTGACCTCATTATTTGCTGCAAACACAGAAAACGACAATAAACTTTAGCAAATCTCATCCGTCCAAACAAAGGGTAAAACATTAAATTTAAGTAAGTTTGAGAACTAAACGAGAAACTTATAATATAAGGGATGAATTTGAACATAAATACAGTATTAACAAGCAACTATATGCGTTGAATTTAAGTTTTTCTAGCAAGGAATAAAGTGATTTTAATTGCATGTATTAACTTATATGATTTTCTCAATTAAGTATCTGATTTTTAATTCTATTCAAATAAGTAGAAGATTTTTTAATTTTGTACAATAAAATGTGTAGTATGTGTGTGTAAACTTTAATAGCTTAGATATAGAAAACCTTTTTAGAAAAACTTTAGTTTTTTCATTCATCAAAGTAAATTTTATATATATATATATATATTTTTTTTTTTCCTTCGTAGAGAATCCAATAGCCGTGTGAAGGAGAAGGGACCTCTCAACTCCTAGAGAGAATCTGTACCATCTCCCCTGCGTTCCTCGCTTCCCCTTCTCTCTCAGCCATTTCCGAATCCTTACTACTACATTTCCCCATTTCAAAAAGCAATCTCCAAAACTTTTTCCAAATCAATCAGATGGCATATCCGCACCCAAACCTGGAGCTTCGACCCCTTGGAAACACGGGTCTCAAACTTAGTTGCGTCGGCTTTGGAGCTTCACCACTTGGCAGTGTCTTCGGCCCTGTCTCTGAACACGACGCCATCTCCTCTGTCCGCGAAGCCTTCCTCCTTGGCATTAATTTCTTCGACACCTCTCCGTATGTCTCCTCCTTCTCAATGAACTATTCTTTTAATTTGCCACTATTACTATTTATTTATCACTTTTTTATTTTGTTCTTGTTCACGACAATGTTTGATGCTGCTATTTGAAAGGTATTATGGAGGGACATTGTCAGAGAAGATGCTTGGTAAGGGACTTAAAGCTCTAGGAGTTCCGAGAAATGAATATATTGTGTCCACAAAGTGTGGAAGATATGTGGAGGGCTTTGATTTTAGTGCTGAGAGAGTGACAAAGAGTATTGATGAGAGCTTGGCAAGATTGCAGTTGGATTATGTTGATATACTCCAATGCCATGATATTGAATTTGGGTCTCTTGATCAGGTTCTTAATTTTATTTTACTTTCCTACCTGGGTTTGCAATATCTGCTTTTTTCTTGTTAGCTTTTTTTTTTTTTTTTTAAGATTCTAAAGTTCAGATTTTGTTAGAAAAATACGAGGATGTGATGGAAAAGAATGAGTTGGGTTGGTTTGATTTGGTTTTATTGACAGATAGTGAATGAAACAATTCCCGCGCTACGGAAACTAAAGGAAGCAGGGAAGATTCGTTTTATTGGTATAACTGGGCTGCCGTTGGGAGTATTTACGTATGTTCTTGATCGAGTGCCGCCTGGCACAGTTGACGTTATTTTGTCTTATTGTCGCTATAGTATTAATGATTCTACGTTGGCGGATTTATTGCCTTACTTGAAGAGCAAAGGTGTAGGTGTAATTAGTGCGTCTCCACTAGCAATGGGGCTACTAACAGAGAATGGCCCTCCAGAGTGGCATCCAGCTTCTCCTGAACTGAAGGTCTGCCCTCATCCCCTTAAATAATCTGTTAAGCTTTCTGTCCATATCATTTGGCTTTTCATCACATTACTGCTTCGCTGAAACAGTCAAAGCAAATGTTGCCAGCTAATTTGTCTGGTAATATTTCACCAAGAGTTGAAGTTTGGTGAGTGATGTAAACATATATCTGTGCACGCACACATATGGCACACCACCATCGACACCTCCGCATTAATACTGTTCTTTTTAAGTTCACCAATTTTATGTCGACCTCAAAAAGAGAGAAGGATAGTTTCATCAGTTATGTGTCAAAAAAGCTGGATTTATCTTTAGGAGCTATGATCAAACTTGAATTCTTGTTAGGATAACAGAGTCGCAAGTCATGTGACGAAGAACCAATTGTAACATTACATATGAATGTATTAAATGGATTATTGAGGATCACAACTAGCACTCATGTCATGTGATGGGATCAAGAATGCCTTCTGAAGTGGAAAGATCTGAGATCATGCTGTTCGATATGGATCTAATAGGGCACGTTCGTTCAGGCAAATTTCCGATTCCACCTATAACAGATCCTGATCAGATAATATGAATAAGATATTTATGGGCTGTCTCTAGAGGTTGCTGTACCATGCATCTCATCTTAGATATCTTGGATATGCTTGCAATACTTGCTCACTTGAAGATGGATTACATTTTTGCGAAGTTAATTGATCTCCACCCCCAACCACAGTCTGCATGTGAAGCTGCTGCTGCCTTCTGTAAAGAGAAGGGGAAGAATATTTCAAAGATAGCAATGCAATACAGTTTGTCGAATAAGGATATTTCATCCGTGCTGGTTGGCATGAACTCTGTTAGACAGGTACTCCTACATTCCCTTGATTTCCACATTTTGTTTGATATACAAGTATTAAACTTCAATTTCAAGTGTCGCACTTTCTGAGCTTTACCATAGTATTCTGTTCAATCCTTTCCCCCTGCATAGTTTTACTAGCATAGACATGTAAATCTGGGTCCATGTTTGTGCGATAACATGCTCTATTGTTTGTTACATCATCTGTTTGTAAGGTAGCTGTTGTCCATTTACAAATGCACAATTTTTTTTTAAAGGCTCAAAGCATCCAATTCAAAAGCTAAATAAGTAATTAAGAGGTGGACAGCAGATACCCGGTTGAACTACTTAGTGCTTATGTTAACATCCACTTTATCTGATGTGTCATGTTTACCATGCTAATGATGACAAAGTCTCTGTCTACACTATTGACGCCATAATTGTGCGGGTGATGCACCTCTTTTGATGATCAGGTTGAGGAGAATGTTTCTGCTGCTACGGAACTTGCTACGTTTGGCAAGGATCAAGAAACTTTATCAGAAGTTGAAGCAATTCTGATCCCTGTGAAGAATCAAACTTGGCCTAGTGGAATCCAACAGAGCTGATGTTTTGCTGCCTTATGACTACTTTCCCTTTGTGCTTTCTACAATTTGCATTGCTGTTAGTGGCTCTCCAATCCATATTTGTTCCAACGGAGTGCCCATTATACTGATGGATCCGAAACTCAATAACGTGTAAGATGTGTTTGATTCCTGTGGGATATTTAAGAGGTGTTTTACCTTAAAAGTGTAATCAAATTATTGACATTAAAACTGAGCTTGTTTTTTGGTTGCTGATTTTCGAAGTTGTATAAAAGTCTGCAAGTCGATGCTTCGGTTTTTGCATTTCCTGAGTGCTCTTTGGCGCATATGATTTGATGCAGTGCCAAACTCCATGAATCTGCTTAGCTGTGGATACTTGATTATTTGAAAGAAAGAAATAAATAAAACTGCATCAAATCATTTCTCTAGAAGGCTTAGGTTTTTCACTCAGGAAGTTTCATTCTCTCATATATTAATATTATTGTAAATGGATTATGCAAAATTTTATATTTTTTCAAGTTAATTTTAGTTTTTGAGATTTTTTTTTGAGATTATTATTAGGTTTATTACAGTTTTTACGGTTATTTTAAAGATAAAAAACAGGTTTTTTTTTAATATATAAAAAACTTAAAACCTTGATTTCTCAGTCACTAATGAATCAGACCACAAGTTATCTAATCTTTTATTTTAAAAAAACATGGGGCAGTCGACTATGCAAATAAAAAAAATCAAGAGCCTAATTACACGGGCCATTGATAAAATATACCAGATATGCTGGCCTGGCATGCAAATGCCAGCAACAAGTGAACTTTGCTTTTTATGGAAAATAATATGCAGAACCAGAAACTGTTGCTTTAATCGAAGGCATTCATAACCTTCTGCTCTAAGTACTTGGATGTGGACACATTTTGGTACGGTGTTCATTCACGGTTCTTACAAATGTAAACCGTGTTACTATTTGTAACCAGAAAGAAAGAACCACCTTTTTGAGGCGAGGGGCATGGTTCTCTTGCATGTGAGCAAAACTAAATATTTATGATTTGGACAAGCGCACAAAAGCTTTTGTCTTTAGGAGTTCATTGCTAAATTTGATTGTTGGAACTTTCCTTGGATGGGTTTCTGGAGTTTTTTCTACTAAATTTAGCCACTAAATACTATAGACAAGTCATTGTTTTTTTTTTAATATAAAAAAAATCATAAAATTGCCAAGGGATGAAAAATCCGGGGTTAAACTTTAAATAAAATAATAAATAAAAAGACAAATTATATATTTTTAAATTGATTAAAAAAACTCTTACTGCTAAATAAAAAAATCTTAACTTTAAGTGTATAATTTAAAAAATTAAAAACTTTTAGAATTAGAATATAAAATTTACCAAAGTTTGGAGGTGTCCCTACACCATATAATGGGAAGTGTCCATCAAAACAAAATCCAAATGAGAGAAAACAACGATGTTAGAGATGGTATCAATCAAAATTCAAAATATATATTTTTTTATATGTAAAAAAAATAGCACAATGACTGAAAAATTTAATCAAAATAGAAGAATTAAAAATTTATTTATAAAAATAGCACAGTTCACACGTCACTTTTATGTTATGTTAATTTTCTTTTAAAATGCCTCACACACATGTCCAATTCAATCTTAGCTATAAGCATACTGGAAATGTAATTCTCTTTTCAAAGTATAAATCTTTTATGGCCAATAAAAAAAAAAGGAAAATCCAACGGTAAGACAACATACGGGAAGATCCAATGACTAGGTTGGTAATAAGATACAATGCTCAAGAGGAAGAAAAAGAAGAAGAAGAAGAAATGGGCTCTCATAATAACCAGAGTAAAAGAGATAAAAGGAAAGATAAAAAAGAATAGTGAGAATTCAAGGCACAACAAAAACAAATCATTAACACTAAAAAAAAATCATATTTTTGAAGCCGAGTAGCACAAGCCACGGCGCGTGTAATCCAAAAAAATACTTAGACCTACCATGGTCGTGCATATGAGCTTAAAACAAATTATGCTATTTTCATAATAAATTTTAATCTATGTTATCTTACTAGAAAAATAAAATTTCGTCACTATACTAATTTTTTATTTAAAAAAACTTATAATTCGTGGTTTTTAATTATACGAATATGTCCCCCCAAGTAAATGAATGAATGATAACATATTTCTGTAGCTGAGATTCTGGCAAGACTCAAGGGTATGACATTAGAGTGTGGGACGCAGGCAGCCTATCAAGACCGTACAAAGAACTCGTTCTCTTCTCTGTGGCTCAAAAACTTAGAAAGCCCTCCCTTTTTAAACTGAGGCTTGGCTCACAAGAAGTACTCTCTCAGTGAATCTAACCAAGAAAAGGGCACTATCAGTGAACCTAGCAGCAAAAATGGCGACTGCGAGAGTGATGTCAGCTGCAACCAGCACAACAGCATCCTGCTTGCTCCTTAAAAGACCATTCGTCAGTTTAAATCAAAAGGCTCCCACCTTCAACAACCACCTTCGCTTCAACACCACCACCAAAAGGGTTTCAAAGAGGTTGTTTTCTTGCAAGTCTATTTACAATCCTGATGTTCAAATCAAGGAAGAAGGCCAGCCTGAGACCCTTGATTACCGTGTCTACTTTCTTGACAATTCTGGCAAAAAGGTTATATCTTTCACTTCTCTGAAGTTTCTCTTTTTTATGATATCTGTATTGGTTAGTGATAATAAGCGAGGAATGAATGTAATTTGCCAAACCCAGAAGAAAAATCTTTAGAAAACCACTTCCTGTCTCCAATGGTAATGATTTCAGTGTATATTTGTGCTTAAAATTATATTTATTTATGAAAATAACAATGCATTGTTCTTTGATAGTTGAGTTTTGCTCTTGTTAATCAATGCGAGATTTTGGTGCTTTTATGTTTCAGTTTGAGTTCTTGGTTTTTTATTTTAGCCATGGCAATCTGAATTTGAAAATTGAAACGAAAGGTTGTTATAGTGGAGATGAGGTTCTGTATATGCCAATTTGCATTGAGACGACTTGTCCAAATCGCGGAGACGGGGTCACCTGTTAGTCCATTAAGAAAACTCAAGTAGAGAGCACCTATGATTTGGGACTTTTTTCAACAACTTAAAAACAGTTTTCTTTAGGTTTTTTTGTGTTTGCTTATGGGTAATGCAAGTGTTGTTTGGTATTACAGGTTTCGCCCTGGCATGACATACCGTTGCACTTGGGAGATGGGGCTTTCAACTTTGTTGTTGAAATACCAAAAGAATCAAGCGCAAAGATGGAGGTTGCTACTGATGAGCAATTCACTCCTATTAAGCAAGATACCAAAAAGGGGAAACTAAGATACTATCCGTAAGATTTTCTTGTTGCTTCCTTTATAAATCATTCACTGGTTTCGTACAGATATTTCAATTTGTTCTCAGCACTTGCGCTTTTAATGTTAGCCCATTGTAGCTCAACATTCGGTTGCATCTCCTCTGCTTACTTCATTGCCTGAACATATTTTATTGGTTTTGAATTCTTGTTTCTGCCTTATTTTCAGCTACAACATAAACTGGAACTATGGATTGCTTCCACAAACATGGGAAGACCCATCTTTTGCAAATGCCGAAGTTGAAGAAGCATTAGGAGATAATGACCCTGGTATATCAGCATATGTTCTATTTTGATATTTTCCCTTTCTTACAGATTCTAGCATTTGCTTGTTCCAATTAAGTAGCACTTCAGATTTGTAAAATTGCTGTCTCTGCTTTTAGTTGATGTTGTCGAGATTGGTGAAAGACGGGGAAAGATTGGTGAAATTCTCAAGGTCAAGCCCTTGGCTGCTTTGGCCATGATTGATGAAGGGGAACTTGACTGGAAAATTGTTGCTATCTCTTTGGATGATCCACGAGCATCTCTCGTAAATGATGTTGATGATGTAGAGAAACATTTCCCCGTAAGTCCTCTTCTATTACCAAGCAGCCTTGCAATACCTCACCACAGCCACTTGTCAATTTTGTAAAATCAGTTGCAATGAAAAGTAGTTGTTCTTTTATCAGCTACTAGAAATATCTTTGATTAGTTAATAATTTGTTTCATAATTTCTCCAAATGCGTACATGTTGGATTTAAGATGGTATTTTTTTTTAAGAGGTCATAATTTCAAAGCATTTTCTACTTAAATGGTTAGATTGTATTCAAAAAGGAAAAGGGTATATTTTATGCCTTTAATTTATCAGCATAATGAAAGTAAATGATTAAAGAGTTGTAAGCATTGATATGCTAAGCTATTGTAATAAGTGGGACAAATGAGTGAATATATCTGGAATGCTAAGTTGGGGATGTGGAATTCATTGAAGGTGTGGGTTATGTATCACAATCCCATTTTGCTGACATAGCATTAGACGATTAGTGGTATGGTTTTGGAAAAGTTAAGATTGTGATGAAGGTACTTTTTTGATAGAACTTCTGCCTGGACTTTGAATTAACCGGACAATCATTGTCCTAGAACAAGCAAGGACTTTGATTGAATCTGGAAATGAGGACTTCGGTTGAATCTGGAAATGAGAGAATGTGCTATAAATAGAAATAGAAGTACTAAGTATCTGGTGGTTATCTTCAGGGCACTCTCACTGCAATCAGGGATTGGTTCAGAGACTATAAGATCCCTGATGGGAAACCTGCCAACAGGTTTGGTCTTGGCAACAAGGCAGCAAGCAAGGTAATTTATTTATTTATTTTTGAAATAGAACCTTGCCTGTATGTAACAGCTTCGTGAAGTTCTAATTTTGCCTCATTTCCATCCCTTCTTCCTTATTAATAAGGTGTTTTTTTTTTTTTTGCTATCATGTGCTGTGGGTGTAGCTAACCGTGCTGTTAAAAGCTATATTATGCGGAAAAGGATTGCATTATCTAGATATGCAATTATCAAAGACATTTGATTTTGAGCACATTGACCTACACAAGCTGATAAATGAATTGAATAGCATAACTCTTTAACAATATACGGATATCGATTTTACCCTCAATTGCAATTACCTTAGTCATGGCCTTCATGTGATGGTGCAGAACACCATGTACTGCTTTGTCATTGATTGATGATTGAATGAATTGATAAATATCCTTGTTTTGTTCCGATCATTTGATAGCCAATTGAAGTTTGGTATAATAATTTAGTACAAGATGCCTTAGATTTTTCTTGTCATTTTATGTTTGGTGCTACCTGTTCCATTCTGTAATCTTCCGTATCTCCTCTGAATAATGGTTTCCATATGATGGATAGGACTATGCTCTCAAGGTCATCACCGAGACCAATGAATCTTGGGCGAAACTTGTCAAGAGATCGATTCCAGCCGGAGAGCTTTCTCTTGTATAAAAGCCACTGGTAGACTAGAGTCGGAGGTGAAAGTATTATTATTGAGATGGAGCTGGAAGTAGTATTGTTTTTGGCATTACTTGCCAGAAATTTTACCTTCTGGCAAGCAAGCCCCGTGTTGTCTCAATACATTGATGATATCAAAACATTTTTTCCTCGTTAACGAGTTTGAATAATCCATTGTTCCTATGCAACTTGTTTGTGTTTTCATCGTGAGACTGAGATTACATTTCTGGTACACAAACAAAAACTGTATGCATTCCTGTTACTATGGTCATGCTTATACAAGATGGTGGTTGGAATACAGTCCTCATATTATCATCCTTCAATTTCGAAATAGCAAACGCTAAACATTACCTTTCCTGCACCATATAATTAGAGATCTCCTTTCATTTTTATGTTGGTGAATGAATGGTAACCCTCCCAGGCAATCCCACTACCTTCAACATTGTTTAGGATGCGCCAAGTTTAGGATTGTCCATTGAAGTGTACCAGCCCTCATATGTGTCCATCCACTGTCAGTAGAGATGGGGTGGATGAAAATTTTCAATGCAAAAGGAGTCAAGGGGATTGGAGTTTCATCAAGCCTCCATCTATCATAAATAATGTTGTTACACTGGCAATTGATTGATCTGTGATGGTAACCTTAATGGATGTGCTTGGTTGTTAAGTTTTAATGTAATTTATCCAGAATCGATTGAAATAACTATATAACCAAAGTAACAAGTTCTTTTTGATTCTCCCATTTGATCAGAGTAGAATCCATTCAAAACCTTACGTATACAATTAGTTGTCATTACATGATCTCTGGCACGACATATGCACATATTGTACCCCTTCGGTCACATATTACAATTGCTGAAAACAACGAAGGAAACTTGGAAGGAAAGAACTGCAAACCATGCAGCCATCCTAGCACCAGCAGCTGCGTTCAAGTGCTTCTTCAAACCTCCTTTCCTTGTCAGAATCATTAGCAGGTGAAGAAGGACCAGCCATGAATGACTCTTTGCCCAGAGATCTCCCTTTGAAGATTGGACTGCCTTGTTGAACCCATTTCATTGCAGAGAACTTAGCCACAGAAAAAGAAGTAGCTGAGGGTGTTGAAGTAGGAAGAGATGACGGGGACGTTGATTTGTTATGGTAGGGAAGTAGGAGCATCGAAGCTGTAGGAGCCATGATGAAAAGAAAATGCAGACAATAGGATATTGAAAGACTTATATAGAGAATAGCATAAGGTTGGTTTACCTAAAACAGGCAAAGAAAAAACTGTGGGTCTTAAATGAAAACGATGAACCAAAATTATGTATGCATGGAAAAAACGACTTCACTTTCCACCTTGCTGAGCAGCATGACCGCAGTTGCTGAGATTTTCTTTTGGTAATAAAAATCTTGTTATAGTTATCCCTTTTTTCAGTCGCTACTGTGTTTTCAATTAATTTTTTTTAATTTTTTTAATGATTTTAATATTGATATAAAAATAATTAAAAATATTTTTATATAAAAAATATTTTTTAAAAAATATATTACACTACAATATCAAACATACAATTAGACTATGTTTAGCATTAATCACTTCTGGTTATTTGAGATAATTTTTACTTGTACTTTTTAAAAATATTATTAATAAAGAAAAATATTAAAATAATATTTTTCAGTGTGTTTTATGATAATTTTAATATATTAATATTAAAAATAAATAAATAATTTAATTTTTTTGATATATTTTAAAAAAAACTATTCTAAAAAATGCACGATATTATAATTTCAAAAAGCATCTAATTCTAATTTGATTAAATATTATCAATTATGATTCACATGAATTCTATTAAAACTTCTCTATTTAATATCTATTAAGAAATAACTATAATTTATATAAAAAAAAACTTAAATATGTTTTTTTTTTCAAATTGACAACCGCAAAAACGAGGGTGTGCTCAGCTGGGCTTATCCAAAGGACACGCTGATCGAGAAAGTGGTTGAGCATGAGAGAGCACGTGGAAGTTGTCGATGGACGAGGATTTTCCCATGGCGAAGGCACGCTTTATCGAAGAGCAACGAGGAACGCTAGGAGTAGTGCATCTTGTAATTATTTCGATTTTTTTTCAAATGATAGAAATATTGATCTTATTACTAATCAAGGTAAGACTTACTATTACTGGATTATATAATATGTATCATAGATTAACATATCAGAAGTAGTAAAATAGATGATAAAAAAACAATATCTGACATCGTTCAGTCGTGGAGATTATCCATTGGGATATGCACATCACCTGGACATGACGTTCTTGCTTATTTTGAATGACATTTCCGACATTAAACTTGAATTTGTAAGAATTTTAGCGTGTACATAATGATCTTATTCCTTGGATTAATGTCAACAGGATTATTTGGGGGCAAAAATACGGAATAACTTGGATAAATTTATCAAGGAAAAACACATGACAAGATGTAGCTGATAATGAATTCCAATCCGCTGTAGGAAGATTTTATACACCAGAAAGACTTGGGCTTGCGAGTGGACATGCCCTAAAATTGTGCAGAAAACAAACGAATGCTATATACAATTCCGGTGAAAACTTTATGGTTCTGCCAAAGTTTCTGCTGCTCCTGCTGCCTTCCCATTAAGCAAAGGCGTTGTGTTAGACCTGTCAGCTGTAGTTTCTTGAGGATGCTCACTTTCTTCATTAAATCTATCCACACCATGTAGAAATATACCTGCCGTAGAGCAAATGATGAATCAAATATAATTATGCTATACAACTGAGGAATAACTACGAAAAATTACCTGTAAACCATATCACAGCTGCTGGAAACAAAATGGACGTCAGAATAAGAGCAGTACTCCTCCAGTTGTCAATATGATCCTGAAACATATATCAACAGTAGAGGGACTTGAATAATTGCCTATGCACGCATAAGAGAAAAATATCAATCTAGTCTTAAAAATGTGGATGGGTAAAACTTCACTTGCTGTGATCATCAGGTGATACCGTGATAGTTGGATAACCTAAAAAATCAAAAGAACTCCCTCTCTCTATCTCTGTTTAGTTCCAAAATAAAACAGCCTCATAGATCCAATTTATGAAGGCAACATACTCTCCAGAATTCATTCTTTGAAAGGAAGACCCACTCCACATAAAATTCATCTGTGACCCTTTTAGGTCTGCATGACATTCTGCCAAACATATTCAGAATTCTGCATATGATACATAATTCTTTTCACTTATGTTGTCTTCATTACCATTCTTCTGTTATTGAATTATTCTGTACTTTGAAAATATGCATAGGAAAGAAATAAAATTATGCTTCCTTTTTTCTTAAGATTCATGCCTCATTTTTAAAGAAAAAACAGGTGTTTTATTTTTTTTCTGAACAAAATACAACAGTTCAGCAAAGGCATGCTATGAAAGATATGAAGGCAAACCTGGAGAACACCAACAAGTGGTGAGGAAGGCACATCTCCAAAGATGTGAATTGCAACGGTGGACATAGCCATAGATATTGGTCTCAAACTTGGTTTAACACAATGAAGACATACATAATTTACAGGAGCCTGAAAATAAACATAAACATTTAGTAGAGAGAAAAAAAAAAGCTCTATAAATGCTAAAAGTGTAACAGATGCTAATAGAAAATTTTAATACCTGAGTTGCAAAGACAAGTAGTTCACCAATAGCGAAAAAAGCAAGGAAGGCATACATGTTCTTAAAACAGAAGGCACTGAAGCAAAATATTGCGCCAACAAATGTAACTGCTGAAAGAAGCTGCAACGAGTTCAACGATTTTAGAGACAAAAGCTAATTCAAGGGAATATTCAAATAGCCCAAAGCCATTTAGAAAATTCTGCAACTCATTATACCAAATTAGAAACGCTGTATCATTTTATGCAAAAAGCCATTGAACCTAACCTTTCAATACAGTCACCCTTCTTGTGAGGTATTTGAAATAGCAGAAATTATCTTGGTAAAGTCAAATTAAAGCTAAACAAGTTCCTGTAAAAGAGTATGTTTCTGAAACCAAAAATATTGGCTTACTAGTTAGAACTGTTCAAGCCATACAATAAGCCAGCTGACAGCTCAGCTGACCAGTCTAGCAAATTCATAAGCTAACTCTAAGGACTACAATCCAATCTCAACCATCTCCTAAAGGTCAGAGACAGCCTCACAAGTAAAGCAAGCGTGGACCCATGAGAAGAATTTAAATTTGAGATTGAGAAGCAAGCTTATGCTGCCGATTCAATCAGCTGCAAAATACTGACATATTTGTTCTCCTAAATATCATTTATGACCATCCAATTAAAATTATGGATATTGAAAATACTAGATAAACAAGAGGGATTTGGTGAGAAAAGGAATTCGCTAGAAAAGATGTAAAGAAAAAATGAAGAGATGTAGAACACCATTTAGCAATTAAACTAGCTTGGTACCCATGTGTTGCTGCGGGCAAGTTTATAAAATCTATTTAATATTTTAATTAATTTAAAATTTTAAGTTAATGAAATTAAAATAAATTAACATTAATTGAGGAAATTTTTTAATTGAATATGTATTTTGTAATATTTAATATCACATGTTTTTATTTTTTAGTTTAAATATAAATTACGAATATATTTATTTTAATAAATAAAACAAACAAACAAACATGCAATCAATTATCTATATCACCTGATAAAACCTAATTAAATGAATCAATAATCGGAAAAAGACAAGAATTGACAAGAAATGTTGCTTGAACAATCGGTGGTTAATCTTAATCATTGAGTCCATAACTATTGATTAAGAAAATCTAATTATTCTCTCCTTGATAGTTACTTTCTTTTTTTTAATTCTGCATCAAGAAATTCAGAATATCAATTTTTTTTTTAACATATATCAAAGAATCATTATCAATTTTGAAGTGATGCACAACTAGCCAAAAATAATATAAACTAAAAGATGAAAAATTATAAATTATCAAATCTTTATTACTTAGACCTGTTCTTCTATGTGTTATCTACAATTAATGATGATCTTTATTTTTTTTAAAAAAGATTGATGTTATATTTAGTGTTAATTATCATTGATTTTTTTTAAATATGCATCTTAGATTAATCAATTATCAATTATAAATATAATAAGTATTTAAAAAAAATTGGTATTCAGTAATCAAAATTGATTTTTTTTTTATGAGGTTGCATGAAGAATCATTATTTTTTCTTATAATAATGAATTTTTTATACTAATTTTGAAATAATAATATTTTTTTTGTGAGGTTGTATGAAAAATACAAAAATAATCATTAACTATTTGTGGAACATTTTGA